TTTTTTTTTTTTTTTTAAGTTTTGATGTTGTTCTTGAATTCGAAATTTTTCAGAATTTGAGATTTGGTTATCTATTTGGTGTTAATGAACTTTGGATTTGATTTATATTTCACAATTACGAATTTTATGGATAAATTAGGGCTCTTTGCATGATCTAGGATTCGTCATTTTCGATTTGGGGCTCTTTTTGAATTAGAGCTCTTTATATTTTTGTGATATGGTAATAAACTTACATGCAGATGTGCCCCTTCATATTTTAAAGATGTCATGAACATATTTCTTCTTGTTCTTTTTGACCCACATAAGCAAGCTCTTCAAAAGAGCCCGTTTTATTTTTTTTTCTGAACATGCTACGGGAGTCGAGGCATGGATAAGTACATATCGGGCAGACATGAATGCCTTTGTTGTTGGAGACAATTTGTTCCTTAGTTTTGATCCCGCTGAGTTTAGTATCACTATGGAGTTGAGACAGAGTGGCCTAAGTTCAGATTTACATCTTAGTTTGGAGTCAAAAACATTGTTTGATGGTTGGGGTCCGGTAGACAAGTTTGAAAAGAAAGCAAGTTGTTAATTTGATAGAAAAGTTTGTTGTGGATGAAGCTCATGTTGACGACTTCATCCGGATGTTTAGTCTTCTTGTGTTCAGTTCTCATGTTCGAGTTATTCTATTATGAGGTTTCTTACCCTTACTTGGAGGATGTAAGTCGAATTTCTGAGTATGCATAGGGAGATGCTACTCATAAATTCTTGGTTGGGGAGCTAGTTCTCCATTCAAAATCGAGAGACCAATCCTACTTTTTGTGTTCAGTGGGATTGATGGTATGTATAGATTTGTTTCAATGTTTTAATACAATAATATTAAATTGTGAAATTGTGTAATTATGAAATCACGTATATGTGTAGGCTTGGTTGTACGACCATGTCCCTTCTCTGGGCAAGAGGTCGTCGCTCGAGGCGATTCCCCGTCTATCTCGGTGGACGGGGAGCACGTTGCCACCTACAATAGAAGGGTGATTGCAATGCCTTAAGAAAATCATGAGACATAAGGTAATTTATATATATAGTCTTTATAGTATTATGTGTTTTCTTCTTCTTCTCTTTTATTTTTTCTAATCGAAATTGTACTTAAATCATTATGATTTGATTTCAAGGTGTATTCGGTATCGTCGGTGTTTGATGAGCGTATGTTTGTGGAAAACTAAGTTTTTCCTTTAATTTTGGTCGAGAATTTATGCTTTAGCATTAATAGATTTTCATAAATACAAGGATCCTTTAATTTATGTTTTTCTTTTAATTTTTGTTTTTCCTTTAACGTACAGGTAACGTTTGAGAACCAGCTGTTGGCAATGGTGTGTCATGAGAATGTCGAATTGCAAAAGAAAAAAAATTCTAAGTGTTGGAATTGGAGAGGAACAAAAAGAAGAATAAAGAAAAAGAAAAAGAAAAAGAGCAGGCTGCTGAAAGAAATGAGACTGAGGGTGGTGATGGTTTTGATGATGGTTTTGATCACACCGAGGAGCAAAAACTAGAGGAAAAAGAGGAGAAGAAAAGAGGAGGAAAAAAATAAGAATGGGACTGATAGAAGATGGACTCTGATGGTGATAGAGAATATTGTTGAGAATGAGTATGAAGAATTGGACCGCTTGAGCGGAAGATGGGCTCTCATGGAGGATGCTAGTTTGAGCGGAGGGCTTGAAAAAGACGGGTTATCGGATGAGCCGAACTTTGAGCATAGTGTTTAGAGCTAGTGCTTGTCGCGCCAACAACCAAAGGAGAAGCAACAGTTGTCCTCCATGGTGAAGAGGTGAGGGAGAGGGTAGGGAGGAAAAAGAAGACGAAGCCGATCAATTTTATAGCCCCCAGTCATTCAGTCCGAAGAGACAGAAGAAAGAAAAAAATTGCAATTGGTGACCAAGATTGATGATGGGGTAATGAAACAAGCAATTTTATTTCTTTAATTAATGTGATTGTTCGTGTGTTTTTTTTTTCATATAACTAATCAATTATTTTGTAATGTATGAGTGTGGTAAGATGGATGTCGATGGTTGTTCTATGAATGTGTATAGGGGACGTGAGATTTTTGTGGACATGTGGATGTGCAGAAAGAGGATGCTGCAGCCATCCGATCATTCTTGGCAAGCGATCACCTGAGGTAACAAAAATTACTTCAGTTTCTTAACTGTTTCATTTATTTTATATTATACTAATTAGAATTGCAAATTTTGGTAGCAAAACTGTCTGGAGCAATGATCGAATATTGATCCGAGGGAAATCAATGTGTGCTCTTTTGTTCGAGAACGAGTTGGATTCTCAACTCGTTGATTTTGATTGCTTTATGAAGATGTTGTGTGGTTGTCATCCTCATACTCGCTTTTTGCCAACATATGTTAGGTACTTTATTTTCATATACTATATTAATTTTATTGATTGTTAATTTACTGAAAAAATTATTTAATTTGTAGAGTGATTGGATAAGTGTTGAAAGAATGAAGAGAAAAGATGTTTGGAAAGTTGAAGATTATGATCCGTGTACTTATTCTAGTCTTACTAGAAGTACTGCTGCCGTGTTTGATGATGTGATGAGGTTTTTGATTGGGGTGAAGTATGTTTTCTTTTCACTGCTGTTGAATTCCACTTCTTACTGATCTTGGACGTTCAAGACAAAAAGTTTGTGTACATATTAAACTTTGTTTCGTAGTTATTATTTATTTCTTTCAAATAAACTAGTGTTTTTTTGTTCTTTTTTCCTTTTTGTTTTAGGCCAAGTTATTGCGAGGATATTTGAATTTGAAATTTGGACTAGACATTAATCCAAAGAGTTTTGTGTTTTGGTACCTCAAAGATCAAACTGGTGTCAAGTATTGTAGCGTCCATATATATACATGCAAATGATGTACTATGCCGTTGAAGGTATGGATTTTGGTAAAAGTGAACATGAAATAAGGAATACTTGGGAATCATTAACGAAAAAATAAGAAACACGAAAGCATGAACAATAACACAAAATTACACCAAACAATTATCAACATAAATAAATAGAATATATGTATGACACTTTTTATACATTAGGTTCTTATTAGCTATTTTGTTTTCTTTACATTAGAGATGCATTTTATTTTCACATCTATTTTACCCTTGGATATAAATACGTTATCTCAATTTATTTATATTATGAACTCATGATGTCGTTCTATTCAAATTTACAATAGAAAGTCGTCATCATCTTCTTTTTGTTCATTGCTACATTGACATGAGGGTCTCATTATTATTTTTTAATACAAAATTAATCGCCAAAAATTTTTATAATCACATGCATGACACACGTGTACTTTATTAGTACTTGATAGGCAGAAAATCTATGTCTATGTATATAATACAGTTGGCTCCTTAGCATTATACATATATAATAAGAATAATCATTTACTAAAAATAATAGTAAAAAAAATAGGCTAGAATTTAATGCAGTCTATAAGTTTTATTATTTTTCTTATTTTTTTTAAATCATACAACATTAAATGTTATCTTAAATTTCGGGCTTTAGTTCATTTAATTATTTAAAGAATCCGGCTAAGATCTATTAAATGTGCATGTTTTTATTTTTATTTTTATTTTAGAAACAACGAACAACATGAAAATCTCGGTCTCTATATTTAAAAAATCTCAATTCAAAATATAACAAAAGTTTTAGAATCTCGGTCTTTATATTTGTGCCTTTACAAAAAAAGAATATATTGAACGCTAAAAATATTCTTTAAATTGCATAATCAATCAATTAATCTTAATTTTTAAAAAATTACTATATTTTTTATATTAATATGCATAAAGTAAAAATATTAAGTCATCTTTAGATTTATAATTTATAATCTTAATATACTATCATTTGTTGTAGACATTTATTATATGAATCATAATATATTTTTATTTCATAAAATTAAATATATTTAAAGAAAATAAGTAAATTTCTTTGGATCAATCGGGTGATGAATTACGGTACTGCCCAAGTTGATTGAATTACTTTTTATGTGATATTTAAAATAGTTAAAAAAACTTGACACAACGTGGTTGGTCCCAGGTGACTATGTTATGTATCAGTTTGACCAGACCAAATCGATTATTGAACCTAAATATAAATTATAATATTGAAAATACTTTATTACGTGGATGTGATGTAGTACAAACTTCAAATATTTTATGAATATTTATATATCATTTTATTAATATTTACGTGAATTAAATAATATTTTATTATAATGTTTATTAATGTACAGTTAATATAAGGTTTTCAGAACCAGACCGTCATCGAAACAATCAAGTTATTTTATTAAATCATTTGTGGTTGTTCAGATTTTAATTTATATACATTTTAATATATATATATATATAGTACTTTTTGTAATAAATTTAAATAAAATGTGTTACTTAAATATCTAAACAATTTATAAATTTAAATGTTTAAATTAATTGATAAATAATTTATAAATCTATATTTTATTTAAATATGTAATTTTATTTAAAATAATTTTAAATGTAACAAAATTTATTTAAAAAATCGTATCGGTTCTACCAGTCCAACCGGCTAATATTAACGGATTCGATAGCAAATATTTTATTCAAGCAGTCCAATCCAATTTAATTAAAAAAAAAGTTAAATCATAATTAATGTTATTTATATATTTAATTTATAATATAATCGAAATATTTTTTTCTCCTGCATCGTGCGGCCACACACTAGTAGATATAATAGCATTAACAAAAGTGGATGTTTTTGGCCCGTTTGGGTCCGAATGATCTCGGTTTTCAGTACCGTTTTCTCCTACGTGTGCCTAACGAACTGCTATACGAGACATATGAATGAATTTTTCATTTTGACCCGTGAGTGATCAATCGACTTGTGGTTGACCTCGTATATCTTTATTTGGCGAATGAGGAACCGCTTTAATGGTTGCCCATTACGCATTTGTATGCCGTTGAACGGTTGTCCAAATCATTTTTGATATATATATTTACATTTAACGATAAATAAAAAAGTGTCGCATATTACATTCCAAAGTGTGCCTCCTCGATGAAATTCTCCCACGCTTATGATTTGTTCATCTGAAAAATCGCTATACAACTCTTGAAGGGAAAAATATAAAATAAAAACAGAAATTACAACAATGGTCATATAACAATAACCGTGCACATGTTTCTTGGTTTTCGAAAATGATTCATCAGTTTTTCTAGGAAGACATTAGCACATTATTCAAGTTGGGTTTTGAATTGACGACATACGGCAATGAAATCTCTGATGGGACGGCATCTAAAACAGCCTCTTGAAATGATATTTCGAACATCAGAGGCTGATATAAACACACCTCATCTTCCTTGCAATAGTATACCTGCAGAATTGTAATCAATGAATGTCGAGCTCGCAAAATTTTGAACTTAACAAAGATGATGAGATCGTATTAATTAGATTAGGATGAAGGTTAATTGCAAAACTTCCAGCATCCACCATTGAAGCACTTTGTCGGAATAAAAGTTTACTAACTAATTTTGGATCACTAACTAATACCATGTACATATATTTTATTCTATCTTACCATACGCATAAAGATGCCATCTTTCAATTTGATAAGAAAAATGAAAAAGGGGAAATCTTTTGGGTTTGAATTGCAATTATATGAAAAATTGATGTGTTTATTTGGTAACCTTACTCTCTAAAGTGGAGTTATGGGTTGGGGGTGGNTCTGATGACATGTCATCTCAGTAAGCAAACGGCCCACCACATCATCTTAAGTTGTTGGCGTAAAATAGTCGGCGGACATTGGGTTCATTTTGCCAAATTGACAAAATGTCCGGATTTATTTGCAATTATTCAAAAGTTTGGATTAAATTGCCCAAAAGATGAAAGGTCGAAGTTTATTTTGCAATTAACCCGACGAAAGTAGCTGCAAAATTTTTGCTGAAATGCAATTTTCGTCTTCGATTATAATAGTACCAATTTAGGTTTCACTAGAGTGATATATAACAATTTAAGTCCTGTAATATAATATTTTATTGCAATTTTCAATTTCCAATTTTCGATCAAAAGTACTGAAATTGCAACAAAATTTTAAATTACAAGAATTGAATTGCCAATCAATATTTATCGTAAATATATAAATTGGGAATTTTGACAGTAGCATCAAAATTCTAAATTACGAAACTTAAAATATTATATCTCACTCCAATGGAATATAAATTGCACCTTCATAAGCCAGGACCAAATTTGCAATTTAGCCAAAAAAATTCCTAGTAAAAAATCTAACACTCAATTGCTTCCGAAACCAAAAAATAAAAACTACGAGGTCCATTGCTTGGATTTTTCGCATGATTGTCGAACTACCCAGCACATTTCCATACCGCATTAAAAAAACGACAAAATAAAAGAAAGAAAGAAAGAAAGAAAGAAAGTACGGGATACCTTGCAATAAATTCTACATTTGAAAGATGAATGGGAGGATCTTTTAAAGTTCACGATTGCAGATCCTTGAGGGTTAAGATTCCCATCCATGGGATCAACTAATGCTGCATTTTCCGGTTCGAGTTCCACACTGAATTTACTTTGGGCTTCCTGAAAATTGGATACACAACGACATAAAGACAGGGAAAAAAGGGAAATACAAAGGATAATTACATTGTAAGCACATCATTTTTGTGATTCACCAGAAAATAATAACTAATAGTGATACCCAAAAAATTGCTGACATTTTTATGGGTGGTATCTGGGTTAAAAGTAACTTTTGCTGAAAAAGTTTTGTAGGTATACCTAAACATCTTAAAATTAGTCCTCCAAGATTCAAGATTTTTTATGTCACCAGATTTCACTCATACCAATAGCATGTACAGTTCCCAACTCTTGACGAAATTATGGAAATTATCCTCCATCAGAACCATTGCATTATGCTACTGCCTTAAATTCAGAACCGTTGTATTATTGCTACTGCCTTAAATTTACATGACCAAAAATCAACCTTAAGAATAAATAAAACTAGTAAAATTGTACGACCAAGCAAAATGCATTTAGGAGGAGATGGAGAGAGAGAGAGAGAGAGAGAACCTTTGAGAAATGGTAACCTTGTGGTACTGATATATTAAGATAAAGTTTTCCCTCACTCGATGAACCACCATCAACGGTTATTGTCTGTGTGTCAGCTGAAGTTCGTCTTCTAAGGCGTCTCAATGATTTTGATTTTGATGTTGGAGGTTGGACACCCTTCAAATCTAGAGTAACAAGCACTGGTTCTTTTTCATTCAGATCCAAAACCCGTAATATGCTGTTATTTGTATCAGCTATGAGTAACCTTCCTGAAGTCCAAAACTAATGTCAACTTTAAGGAAAATGTTGATACTTTTCTCCCTTCTACTTTTAGGAAGATAATAAAATAAATAAATAAAGAGGATGGTAAAATTTACAGATATCAGTGCATGGAGCAACAGATTCAAGAACAATTGTCATCATGCAAATATGAATAATAGGTGATTGTTATCATAAAAGGTTTTGTGCATAAACATGAACCTTGTTGTCACCCATTTGTCCAAAAACATTGAAGACATGACATAGTCAAAACAAAGGTATATAGAAAACTGTAATATGATACGATAAGAGGCTCCACAAAGTTTTAGAAGGTTCATGATACTATGTATCACCTAAAATTACAAATAAAGTTTGCATGTTATAGTGGGAAATTACCATTTCCAGCTTCAACTAGTCCAGAAGGCTCCGAAAGCTGTAGAATCATAAAGCATTGATAATAATATCCAAAGCCATACAAGTAATAAGTGAATAATAAAAAGATGCATGCATTTCTTATGTCTAATTCATCTATGGACCAATATTTTGGTAATGTACACCATGTAATTTGAATTCTTTGTTTTCTTATAAAGGGATCAAGTGGAACATAATTAGATAGGTGGTAGAGTGGTGGAGATGCTTCTTCCTTCCATATTTTGGACCTTAGCTCCATCAAACAATAGAAATTGGATGTTTCAGAAACAAAATATTATTGGTCAGTAAAATTCAAACCATGGATAATAAGATGCACTTCAGACCCTGCAGGGTGATGTGACTGGGAATTTACCATGCTTTACATGTATATCAGCATTTCTGTACATAATAATATTTACCCAGATACAAGTCACAGCTATCTTATGTGAAGTTCCAGTGGATATTTCCAACTAACGAAATTGGACCAAGGAAATATGACAGAACATATTTAAAGAAACAAGTTGCATATCTTACTCCACAAGGTCACCTAAGAAATAATTTTGACAAGGTGCTGAGAAAGTTGGTCGTGGCAAAAATCTGTGAGCTAGATTGCAGGCGGTGTCGGAAATAATATGTCTTAGGTGAAATGCTAGCTTAGGATCTAGAGTGAATGGTTTTGCTCCTAATTTATGTTATTTATATTATAAGCCTACCCCATATCTATAATCTATATCTATAACTCTCTTTAAGAGGAAGAAGTTTCTTGAAATTTTGAATTGTCAAGAACACCCTCAAAAGATAAGTTTTAAGGTTATTAATGTAACTTTCTTATTAATGTTAGGAAGTTACAACAAACAATATTTGTTAAGTTTTTAAACCTCCATTTCTTAATTTACTTTTATTCATTATCTTTTATTTTTTATACTCAATTATATTTTTAAGTTTTTACACATACAAAAAACATTATCTACGCAAATTTATAGATTTTAAATAAATAATTTATTTTTAATTATATTATTCAGAATTAATCTACATATGACGTTAGGATTCAGTTTAGCTATTTTAAAGGTAGTTTATAAATGTAAGAGAAATATTATTCTAAGATTTTTTAAATAAAATATATTTTATTTCATAAGTGTAAAATATATAATGCACCAATGAAATTGTCTCTCTAATTTCCAAATATCATATTGTTTACTATAAAGAATAAAGAGGAACAATTTAGTAGACATGCATATGTTTAAAAATGATTGAATCAAAAATAATTTATCAACATACAAAATGTCAAACTTTTGTGGAAAGAAGTCGTTCATTAAGTGAAAATATATAATCTCAAAAGAAATATTTTGTTCAAATTATTCACTAAAAAACTATGCATAATATGATTTAAGTTTACATGTTAATAGTATGTATTGTATATATGTGATCATATGTGTCACATAAATTAATCTACTATTTACTTTGATTCTAATATAAACAAAAATATACTAATTATAAAATAAAAGAAAACTAAAACTCAGTTTTAGATCTTGAATTTTAAAATACGTGAACTTATTTAGAAAATAGTTACAATTAAAATCAATTAAATAAAAATAAATAGTACATTTACTTTAAATTTGTTGTTATTAGCCAATCTTATTTATAAAATCATTCATAAATTAAATATTTCAAATCATTTCTCAAAAGTAGGTAAAATAAACTATATAAAAATATTGACGAAGATATGAAAATAATATTAAGATAAAAGTAAAACATGAAAGAATCACCGGTTTATAATTCATTTAAACTGGAATAATTTATTTATTCACATTTAGGATAGTCTTGAAAATCTGTGAATGAAAATGATAATGCATGCATGACAATGTTTAGGAGATGCAAAATAATTTATGTTGGACAATATATATTGATGGGTACTTTCAGTCAACTAATGTTGGACAATACATATACATAGATGGGTATCTTTAATGAATCAAAGATGTTATTGTTCTTAATCCTTTTCAAGTAAATTTTCTTTTCGAAATAATTATGACTTTAAATATATTTTTAAATATTTATTTATCTCTTATGTCACTATATCCAAAGAGAAAATATATATCTAGGTATTATGACATATTATACTTGCAAATATAATTGAATTTGCAACCACTATAATCAAAATAATAGAGAACGAAACATTCAAACATAGCTGGTTAGCATCCAATCAACAATAAAAAAATGAACATTACAAATGATAGTTATAGCAAATTCGAGTTATTTTTAAATAGCATGATGCAAAATGAAGACATTAGAAAACTATATTATAATGACAATAATAATGATTATTATTAAAAGCGTAATGAGGATATCATTAAAGAACACATAGATTTCTTTAGCATATAAAATTTCACAAAAAAAAAATATATTAATCTTATTTTGGATTTTCAACCCAATGTTTTTTATTTAATTTATTTATAGAGTTCGATAAACAGTATTAAATAATATATTTCATTATTCAATACATTTATTATTGTTTATCATAATTTTATTTTAAAACTAATGAAAAAAATTATATTATACTATTAAATACAAATCTAATAATAAAAAAAATTTTAAAGTAAAAAAAAAGCAACAATATCACGTGTGTTGCATGTGCATCTTCCTAGTAAAGGCCCTAAGTATATATATATATGTGCATTTTCATATGTGAATTCATTATTCATACAAAACCCTAAGGTCCATAACATGGTATCACAACCACACAAATATTTTTTTCTTTTTTTTTTCTCCGATCTCACTCCACACCACTCAAATTGCCGCCTCGGGATCGACTTTCAGGCCAAATTTCGCCGCCGGAATCCGCGCGTGTGGGCCACGCTCTCTGCGTGAACAATGTTGGCTATCAGACGCGCCGGCACGTGAGGGTGAGTGGCATGCCTGAATTTTTTCTAGCGAACGTTCGTGGAATAGAAATTTTGAGGCCTTGCTGCCAGTGTTTTCTGTTTTGTGATTTGGGAGGTTTGGGTGTTTGTCTTGCCTTTTTTCAGATCCTTTTTAGTTGTCGGGGTTAGGGTTTGTGTACTACAATCCTTTCCGACACTTATCAATTTCTTTTTTTGTCGTCATTCATCTGTCGTGTGGTCATACGCTGCCCGTTGCTACACCTTCATTCTTATTTCATCGCGGCTCGTTGCTGCCTGTTTGATACGTCATTGTTCGCGTACCATCCGTATCAGAAAGGCATACATACCTATTGTCATACGACGTCGAATCATGTCATAACTTCATGCAATTTGTATCAATATCATTCTTGATGGTTAAAATTATTGGGAGTCTGATTTTTTGGTTGAAATCGTGTTAAGGGTCTTGGTCTGGCTTTCCACTTAACTAATGATGGACCCGAACGGAAGGCCAATAATAGTAAATAATAGTAATGTTGCTGACATCAGGATATTGTAGATTAATGAAGGGAAAGTGATCGTTGCCATCGTCAACAATGTCAAACAGTCAATGATTATGAGTCTTTCTTTTTTGGGACAGCCAAAGTGGTCTTATTTGCAACAGCGATACATTCACTATAATCAGAGCCGGCCCAGGCCCAGGGCGACCTGGGCTACGGCCCTGGGCCCCAACAAAAAAAGGGGCACCAAATTTATACTTTACTTTATATATATCATATATATTTAATATTGATTGGGCCCAACAAAATTAAATAAAAGCCCATGTAGCAGTTGGCGGAAATTTCTCCTTACCCTAAAGCGTGCGCGTGGCCTTTCTGCTGCCAATTCCAAATGCCAACACCAGGATTTTAAAAAAAATAAATAAATAAAATCCCCAAATTAATGAAAACTGGCAACAAGAAGCTGATATTTCGTCTTCGACAGTTCGACTTATCAATCTATCATATCCCCAACGACAAAACTTCAGTCTTCATGATATTATCTCGGCTCTCATTCCAAAATTCCAATATTTTAAAAATTGTAATTTCTTTACTTGTTTTTAGCTTTGTTGAGAGGTTGCAATATTTTAAAAATTGTACTACCTGCTTTTTTTTTTTATAAATGTCATTTTGGCTTTATCAACAATTAACCAAATAAATGACGTTTTGGATTTTTTGTACATATTTTTTCATTATTACCCTTATCTATCTAATAAATACATTAGATCTTTTCATATTCACTCTTCATCTTTTCTCAAAACATTCATCTCTATCCTCATTAATGAGGGTTATTATTGACAAAAAAAATATTCTTAACTACTGTGCAACTTCTCAAACCGATATTTATTTAAAAAAGGAGGGAGTAATTTTTTTTTTTTATAAAAAGAATGTTGGATTGTTATTGGTGTTATTTAAAAGTTCCCAAATATAGCAACGAAAGAGACGTTGGCGCGAGGAGGAGATTGAAATATGGCTTTCAAATTTCTTTAAAAAATACAAAGTACTTAGGGATTGGGGCATTATTTTTATATTTGGCTCAGGGCCTAATAATTTATAGGACCAGCTCTGACTATAATGTTGCACTCTTGCACACACTTATGCAGCAAATTCACATGATTGAACAGAACGACATGTGCATTGAAGAGTACTACTCTGGTTTTGATCGTTTGATGGGACCATTGATCTTCATGATACCTCAATGCTCGACAGAGTGGTGTTCAACATATAAATTTGTTGAGAAGTTCTTATTTATTGCTTTATCATGGGAGGCATAACATAATTTGAGTCCATTCGTACACAGTTGTTTCATAACTCTTCTACTCTGACCATGGCACATGTATTATTTGACTTGACTGCTGAAGAGACTCGTCTTCGTTCTATGTCAGTTACTCCTTTGTCATGATCGCATAATCTCCAGGCAACTTTTCAAAAGATATCTTCTCACGGCTTAGTGCACCTAGAGATGGCTCTCCAGAATCTTGTTAGCATTGCGAGAAGACAAGTCACAGTGTCGAGAATAATTTTACTTAGCACCCAGCACGACGTGCTGCTCACTCATAGTACAACTTCTACTACAAAGGGGTTTGTATTTGTATTTGCCGCCACTGCCTCTTCTGTCAATGCTCTTCAGTCATGGATCCTCGATTCAGGGGCATTTTTCATGTGACATCTCATCAATCCCAGCTCATTGCTTGCAAGTCGCTCGCTGATGGTACTTCTATTCTATTCAGACAGCTCACGACACTTCTTATCATATCACTCATTAAGGTTCTCTATGCAATTCACGTTTTTTAGTACCTAATATCTTTTACGTTCTTAAGTTATCCATGAATCTTCTTTCTCAAAATTGTTTATTCAAATTTGATTACTCATCGTGTTAATTCAGGATCGTCGAAGCGGAACTGTGATCGTCGAATTTGATTACTCATCGTGTTTCATTGTAAGGGTTGCAAGATCGAAAAACGTGGCAAACCCGTATTCTACTAGTGTTTCTCAATCTTCTAGACCTTTTGACCTTATGACCTTATGACCTTATTCTGATGTATGGGGTTCTTCCCTTTTTTTACAAAAGGTAGTAATAAATATTATGTTATTTTTATTGATGATCATTTTCGATATACTTGGATTTATTCTAATGTACGAGATCTTATTTCGTTACCATCACATGTCTTACCTATCACCAATAGTTGGGTCCTAAAGATTAAGAGTTTAAGACCAAGTGAGATGGTTCCATTGAGAGATATAAATCTCGTCTTGTTGATAGAGGCTTTCAGCAGACTCAAGGAAAAGATGATGATGAGACTTTCGCTCTTGTTTCTCACATGACAACTGTCTGATGGAGTGGTTGTTACCAGTTTTTGGAGCATATCTTAGATGGATGTGAAGAATGCTTTCCTTGATGGTGCATAAGAAAGTTTATTTTACATGCAGTCACCACTAGATGTTGATGCCCAATCCGGACATGTTTGCGTCTTCGTCGCGCTTTATATGGTCTCAAACAGGCTCCATGTGCTTGATTTGAGCGTTTTGTCTCTACTAGGTTTTCCTAGTGATCATGATCCTACCTTATTTATTCATCTTTCTACGTGGACATACTCTACTTCGTCTATTGATGATACATTGATTACGGAAGATGATGTAGAACATATTTATCATGTCAAGAAGCAAACTTTGTCAGAAATTTTATATATCCGCTGTTGGGTCCTCTTAGCTATTTTTTGTGCATTGAGGTGATTCATTCTTCTTGGACAATTACCTTTCTCATTCCAAGTATTCGTTTTTCAACTGATAATCGGAGAACGGCTATACCTATGGATCTTCACTTATAGCTTCGTCCCAATGATGGTACTCAAGATGGTACGCATCTTGAGGATCTTTTTCGCTATCGACATATCGTAGGCAGTCTGGTTTACCTTGGTTTACCTAACTGTTACCAGACCTAACATTGCTCACGTAGTTTATATATTGAGTAAATTTGTGATTGTTCCTACTTCGGTTCATTTCGGGCATTTGCTTCGTGTGCTACGGTACTTAAGGGAAACATCATCTCAGTGTATGTTATATACTCGTGATAGTCCGTTTCAGCTTCATGCTTACTCGAATTTTCTACTTGGGCGTGTAATCCAACATATCGTGTTCTGTCACTGGTAATTACATAATTACATTTTTCTTGGTTCTTCTCCTCTTAGCACAAAGGCAGGCACTTGCTACTACCACTTCATAAATTATATGGTTTCGATGGTTGTTAGCCGATTTTGGTATTCCATGTGATGCTCCTACACTTCTTCTTTGTCTTTGTGATAATCTGGAGCCATCCAGATTGCCAATGATCTTGTGAAGCATGAACTTACAAAACACATTGGTGTCGATGTTTCCTTTACCTGGTCACATTGTCATCAGAAAACAATTGTTCTTACCTGCAAGTGGCTTATTTTTTTCACCAAAGCACAAACTAGAGAGTAGTGATGCTTCACTTGCTCAAACTCAATGCTTCGGATTTTCCATATCCACCTTGAAAGGGTGTGTTAACTATATTAAAGGCACAACCCATGTATACTAAAAAGCCTTAAGAGATCATTTTCCTTTTTGACACTTTTTTTCACCTAAATTAAAATTACAGGAGAACAAGTCGCTGATATTACTAAAATAACTACCTGAGCTTCAAGTGCTGATCCATCCTTGAATCCAGCCTTTCCAGTCCCTGCCAGAGTAGTAACTCTCCTACTAGCTACATCCAGCTTCTTGATCTGAAATTATAAATTAGAAGAAAAATAATAAAGTTAATTTAGACCAAAAGTAAAAGTTAAAACATACGCAACATCAATTAGTGTCACTTCATTTGCTTTCTATATACAACTTAAACTTCTATTTAGAAAGAAAAACAAGCTGCAAGCCATAATTGATAGTTAACATTAAAAAAAAATGAGATAACAACACGTGTCATGACCCTGTGACTTTACATATTACATCACATTTAAAATCAACCACTACTAAACATACACACTTATTTTTGGTTATCCATTATGACAACCAATTAAATTAAAGTAGCTTTATTCAACAAACAAGTATTGAAGCTCATGACCCTCCCGAATGATATGTTACATAGTATTAAATTATCTAACTTCTAACTCTAACTTCTGTCATTACTCAAACTAAGTCAGAGTCTTGAACCTCTACTGAAGAATTTTATCGATAATATGAAACAATCAAAACACATATATCGAGAAACTTACTCATACTTCTCATGAATTAAATTACAATGTGTTTCCCTTAAGCTTTGTTGCTTGAATATGTAATTTAATGGAACACTATGAGGAAGAAGGCAAATGTAGGTTTACGGCACAATGTTAGTGCCTCGTGTAACTGAAGGACATCGTTGGAAGTTGAGACCACAGGTGTTACTACATGCTTATAGTAAACACTTGCAAAGCATTCTGGCATTTAGTAAGTGGTTACGTTGATCTAGATATATAGACATATAACACCAATTTGTTCTTAAATATCAAGTCACATGCACACATACAATAATGCACGGACATGTTCAGAAAGAATTGCAACTGATCATTAGACATTAAAGCACAACCGAGGCATCAACTCATAGAAATATGACAGGACAGTCCAATACAATATGTATAGAGCTGCACATCTGTTAATGCTATCATCACATTTCTATGTTGATTACCTTGTGATTGTACGAATCTGCCACATATACTTGACCATTGTTTCCACAAAAGACGCCTAAAGGGTGTTGCAAAAGTACTTCAGAACCTACTCCATCGTGGTCCCCGAACTGCAACATAAAATAAATCCAAAGACAAGAGATACACCTGATGTCGAACTAGAGGGAAGATCAAGAAAGTTCCAAATCATAGCATAAATACCTTAAATAAATTGTCAGAGAAGACTGGATCACCACCTGCTAGAAGTCTTGACCCTCTGGTTTCTAGATCAAGGGCTCGAATTGAGCTACTCTCGCTATCAGCAATGAATGCTTCCTTTAAATCTAACAAAACATGGAAAGGAACATAAGTACATATATTTACTAAAAATTTTGAAATAATGCCAATGCCAGGTCATGCAAAGGTATTTAGACATACCAGGTGACAATGAGATTCCGGAAGGTTGGGCAAATGAGGTGTTTCCAGAACTGCATTAAACATATGCACCAAAAGTCCCAGAAAAGAAACAATAAAAAAAATAGATCAAAAAGAAGGAATCATCAAAATCCGAGATCACCAAAATGAAAGATGTTTAATGAAGAGTTATGTTGTGCCTAAAATATGAGGTGCCAGATGAAAAACTAAGACTTCTTACTTCTGATAATCAATCTAACAATGACAACGGACTAATGAATACCCCTCCAACGATTTATAGTAGACTAAAGACCTAATTTATGATGCAGAGTAGGCAGCTTCTGGTTCTTAGTTCGTCATATTAACATGAACCTGTTATTACCTTGCACCATTCAAATTTCTTTCATAACCATCGCCACTGAAAGCACTAGTCGTTTCATCTTGTACATTGTGTTTCCATATCTGATGCTGGCCAGCCATTGCAATGTAAACTATCTCATTTATAGAATCAAAGCAGACATCCCAAGGGGAATTGAGAAGCTGAAAAAGAATGAGAGAATACCAGATTAAGCGTTTGAGCTTATCTTTGTAACACATACTGTGAATTAAGTAAAATATCGATTTCACTACAGAAAATACTAACTGTTTAAAATATTCCATTTAGAGTTTCTTGTGCAGAAATTCTTGCCTGAGTTGTTCCTGATCCTCCTCCTTGGTAATCAGATCCTTTAGTTCCATTTCCAGCAAGTGTTTTCACAGTCTCGTCGACAAAATCAACCACTCTACAGAAGGAGTTTGATATGCATGAAAAACACAAATACAAAAAGGTACTTAAATCCAGGTTTTCTTAGAAATTTGTATAGAATGAATACAAGAATCAACTGCTACCTCAGAGCATGATTTTCAGTATCAGCTACATATAGGAGATTTCTCTTTGCGTCATATGCAAGTCCCTACAAAGTAAATAACAAACCCTATTATGTCAAGGCAATGTATATTAGTCTTGACCAAATGCAAAAAAGAAAAGGCGGAAGTTTTTTGGAAGAATATTTTTCAAAACCATTACCTGCGGGTGATTGAACAAGGCATCATCAAAATTACCATCACGAAGACCTTCTTCCCCACTGCTTCCAATTTGCATTTTGAAGTTACCATCAAGGTCAGTGACTACCTAAGTTTAATCAGTGACATATTGATTACACTTGGTGGATATACATTGCAAACATAAGTTGGTAAGAAGCAAATAACTAAGAATGACCATGTACGTGAATAATAATTAT